CCGCAAACCCAGACTCAAATGGTTAAAGGGGATCCACTCTCAACATTCAGTTTCCTGGTGAGTCCCTTAATTCTTTCTGGGTTTTGGTTTTTTTGTTTCTTGAAGCAATTGGATTCAAATTCAATGCCAAAAATGATTGCTAATGAGATGGACTTCAAACTACTTTAATTTATAAAGAAAGGAAATTTAAATTTGCGTGTAAGAGACGAACACATTGTCCTAATCAATTTGCCTAAATTTTAAATTAAAATTCGGAACACGTTATAATTTTTGTAAAAACAGAGATGGTGTGGGAGAGTTTTTCTTCCCATATCACATAAATGCTCATCAACACATTTTCATATACTATTATTATTGTAGGAACAAAAAAATTGCAAGACTCATTTATTAAATGAACAAATTCATTTTGCATTTTTTGACAATGGTTTGAAAATGCAATGCTATTTACACATCCGTTTATACTTTTTACACACACTTTTCAATTTTCGACCGTCAAATTGAAAAAAATTATATAAATCAATGACAAAATTAACAAATGTGTGTGGTAGACAAAAATGAGAGTGAAAAGCACTTTCCTTTTAAAATTTAGTCCAAAAAAATCACGTAGGCAAGATGTTCTGAGGGACCCTTTGGGTCCATTGGTGACGACAGCAAAATAGCATCAGCATGTTCGTTGTCCCTAAAAAGTCATGTGCTAGGAAATGAGGGCATTGTGTCGATCCAAACAGAACCTTATTGGGTTTTGCTCCTATGATGCAGGACTACGGCTTGACACTGCAATTTTACAAAGCTCCGTACCTGGTCGACATAGAAATGTATCAAGGGAAGAGAGTTCTGAGGCTTGAGGACATTTCGGAGAACAGCAAGGTGTGGCGGAACGCCGACGTGCTGTCGTTTAACACCGGTCATTGGTGGAGCCACAAAGGAGGTCTCCAAGGGTGAGCAATCCGTGTGTGTTTGTTTATCTTTTGGTACTTTTGTGCAGTGGTAACCTTAGGGTCAAAATGCTAGTGTCCACATTCTGAGTAAAGCATTCGGTAAAGTTGGGTAGAAGTACTTTTAGGAGCATAAGGGCTTTTTGGACCAATTAAAGAACTTAGTGCTTTCTTACATTTATATCTTGCTGTAGAACTGCATCTCTATACCAAAAAGTTTACCAAAAGTTGTAAAACGTTTTATGGGTTTGTCCAAAATGTTTTTGACATGCACCAAAATGTGTAGTTTTAGCGTTCCAAACTTATCATGCGTTGTTAGGCATTTTAACTTTATATTATAACAAGACATAATCAGTTTAGATACCAAAATAATGATGTACTTATTTCATGTAAATCATTCTCGACACGAGAAATTAAGATCATTGTGTTTGAAAACGTGTAGGTGGGATTACATGGAATCAGGAGGGATTTATTACCAAGACATGGACCGTTTGGCTGCTTTGGAGAAGGGGATGAAAACATGGGCGAATTGGATTGACTCGAACATTGACACCACAAAGACCAGAGTTTTCTTCCTCTCTATTTCTCCCACACACTACGAGTCAGTCTCTCTCTCGCTCATAATTGTTTGGTGGAAATTCCACTTTTTCAATTTTCCATGGTTCATAATTTATGTATTGGAATTAGCTATAGGCACTGCTACCTCCAAGCACCAAATAATTGCGAGAAATGCTCTTAAAATGGAATTTTTTGTCACGTTACATTTTAATGTTAATTCTCGTATTAACATTATAATATATTATGAAAAAAACATGAGACAGCAGAGAGTTTCACATTTAAGAGTCGTCTTAACATTTCTCTTGCTGGTATTTTTAGATATTTTTTTGGGTTGCTAAATGTTGACTAGATTTCTACCCTATATGTAGGTCGGTCCACTAGTCATGAATGGTCGGGTATAACAACCCGAGGAAGATATTTTATTACAAAAACTGTATTAACACGTAGTGTTATTAATTTACATATTATACATAGATAAGTTTTAAGGTTTATTTCTCCCGAACGATGAGTAGTCGGGTATGATATTTATAAGTCGATATATGTATTATAATTTGAGTGAATGAAACTACAACGTGGAGGAATGACCATCACAAGTTAAAACTTGTGTAAATAGACCTATTTTGTTTAGAAAATGCAAATGTTTCAGAGCACTGGCTATGTCGGTGGAAAACAGTACACACATACCATTTTTAAAGAAGACAAAAATTGCTAATGTACGGCTCACCAGAGAAAATGGACCACTTCTCTCAAATCTTTTCCTCCATAGAATTCAATTTCTCTAAATTTTTAAAAAAGATTATACTCTCTGCGGGGTAGGAAGAATAAATTAATATTGGACTTCCGTTTCATGCACAGAATACGTAAAAAAATTTAAGGGCATGTTTGGGGAATAAATTGTAGATGAGTAAACTGTTGTTATTGTCCGTCAGTTATTATCCGATTCTCATCTTGGTCCCGGAATTAAGTTTTTGAGTTCTATTGTCCTTAAAAGTTCAATTGTGTCACTTTGGTCAATCTGTCAAATGTCATTTGCCTTGAACCATGTTTCGTTGTTGAAAGAAGAGCAGTAAGTGTTGCTGAAAACTAATCACAAATGAACATGTGTTCAAATAATTGAGTTCGAAAATATATTATTGAACACTTATCGATTTGTGATTAGGTTTCAGCAGCACTTGTTGATCTTCTTTCAGCAGTGAAGCATGATTCATTTGCCTATCAAAGTTTAGAGGCGCAAATAATAGACTTTCGATGGGATGACCAAGGTGAGAATCTAAGTAATTTGGTAACCATGGTATACAGTTGAATAACATGCTAAATTGACAGCCCAAATGAATGGAATGGGGGTGCAATTCCTACAACCACCAAGAACTGCTATGGAGAAACAGCACCAATGAAAGTGAGCGGAGTAACTTATCCCGGGACTACTTATCCAGAGCAAATGATAGTGATGGACAGTGTGATCCGGGGCATGAGAAATCCTCCGTCTTTGCTCGACATCACAATGCTTTCAGAGCTGAGAAAAGATGGGCACCCATCAATCTACCGTGGTGATTTGAGCCCTCAGCAGAGAGCCAATCCTGACCGTTCAGCAGATTGCAGCCATTGGTGCCTTCCTGGACTGCCAGACACTTGGAACCAACTCTTTTACACAACTTTGTTCTTCTAATTTTTATATTTTATTTGCACTCTAATTAATTAACAAGTTATATAGGTTTTATTTTATTTTGTGACACATTTCTGATGAGAGAGTGCAAAATTTGCAGCTCATTCTTTATCTCTATATTGTAATTTGTAAAGTGATGTGCAAATATATTGTTAGTGTTAGTGAGGAGAAATGAGGTTCTTATTTCCTCATTATTTTTCCAATTAAGAATTTCTTTAACGTTTAAGATTTTTTTTTTTTTTTTCTCTTTACTCTTTGGCATCTTCATCCCATTTTCATTAGTTCTAATTTAGGTTCAAAGCAATTTCATTTAAGACCTCTTTGACGATATTATAATCTCTAGATATATTTTGCGGAAGTATGTCGATGCCAGTACTTAGCCAAATTGATTAAAACAATATGTTCTCTCCTCTCGACGAAAGAAGTTCTATGTGTACGGATTGGATGAGGGGAAGATAAATGAGGTGGATTTGTTAAAGAGAAAATGGGTATTACGTGGAGCTTCCAACTGAGGCACTTCTGAGATGAAATTTCCAGTTTCCCAAGGACAGGTCAATGGCATAAAAATTCACCTCCGGCTTTCACATGCATTCCCTCTATTCTTTCAATCTCTAGCACTGGCGAAGCTATAGAGAGACAAGAAGGACATCCGCCCCTCCCCTCGCTGGAAATTAAGCCTAGGAGCGGTGGTTCCACCCTTCTGGTCCCATCAAAGTTATGGTCGTTTGGCCTGCTTTCTGGTTTCCGTTTCCTGCTGCACTGTTTTTTTTTTTTTTTCCTCTGAAAAATCCTTAACCAAACGATGCATTTCAATTAGTTGAATAATTCATATGATTATTGGTATTGATTAATTGAATTGTTGGTTTAATTAGTTAGTAGTCATATGGTATATTTTACTCTAGGATTAAGAGTCTAAAATCAGAAGAATTAGTGATCTTGCAAATAAGTTGGTGAAGATGGGGAAGTGTGCAAGATATATGATAGTGTATAAGCTATATGATAGTGCGCAAGCTATATGATAGTGTAAGGGATCACAGTGTCTATTAGTTTTAAGGGCCTTTAAAAAGAAAAAAATGGAGAACATTCAACCGTACGAAGTTTGATTCTCACAACTTTTCATTTTTTTCCTTGTTCGCTACCCCTCCCCACCCACCCTGTCTCTCGTTATGTTGATGATGAAGAAAAATAACGAAAGGAAGAGAAACGTCAAAAAGCACACCTCCACATCTTCTGCTAGAAGATCTAATTACGTGCGGCTTTCCATTGTTGCTGTGAATTTATGGCCGGATCTACAAGAGCATATAACGTATCTACGCAAGCTTTAAGATGGTCCTGGGATAAAGAAAATGAGACAACCTGCCAACGCGGACGGAGGGAAGTACAGATGCGAGTTTGTGCCACCCATGTAAGGCTTCTGTAATTCAAAATAAGCAATACAGTAACAATAAACTGCAGTTCCAACTGGAAAAAACAACATTTGGAGTCCTCCAGAAATTAGAGGCAGGGGAAAAGGATACAAAGAGGTTTACCTCCATCTGTTTTCTCACACTCCTACTACATCTTGTGATAGCTATTCAACATGAACGTCATCTCGGATGCTTTTGCTTTACTTACATATCAGCTCAACAAACTCCAAAATACAGAGATGAAAGTAAAATTCAATGGACAGATTGATCATTGATGATAAAGAATGAACAAAACTAACTATTACAGTTTTAAATAGAAACGATTATTGTTGCTTCGTAAATTAATTCTCTCTAAGAAGTATAAGATTTGTAAATTATATAAACATGAATTTTTTTGTTTTTTTTTAAATGATATGCAAACTCAATAAAACAGGGATATTGTGAGGGACAAAACTGAAACATATATTCAGTTAACATTTGTTAAAACGAAGCATCATATCCTCTGCATAAGATGTTCCATGGTAAGAGAGAACGTAAATTAAAGCTCATCTGCGGTATCCAACTAAACATCTATTACCAGTTTACATTTGTAAAGAAAAGCGTAGATACACCAACTTGAAGATGATAATGGCATTGAAAGAAGATGAGATAGCAGGCCACCGTATTCAAACCACGCCCGTATGACAAAGAAATATATCATCCCGGGGTTCCATCATCTTCCTTTAGAGGTGCATCATCTTCATGCCAAAAATGCTTTGGAAATTGATGTGAGCTAACATCTGTTGCCTCAGACAATTGCCTCTTAAGTTCCACAATAAAGACTCTGCAGCAATGAAGCCACCAGATTCAAATCAAATAAGTCAGTGCAGCACATATACAAGTAAATTATGCATTAATGTTTGTAAAGAAACTCATTCGCACCAACATAAAAGCATCGTCCAAGGGTTACCTACATGATATCTCTTGCACGAGCATGAAGATCACTAGGACATCGGAAGAAAACTAGAAAAGCATGCCACTGCTGTTTACTCTTGCCAGACAGGCCCAGTAATTAATGCAAGCTAGCATCTGTTTCCTAGGGTAATTCTACTTTACAGTTCCACACCACAGTTAGCTCACCGCTGCATCCACAAGGGCCATAAATGAGCATGTCCTGGCACATTGTATTAACAGATACTTAGGATTGATTTTACACAAGTCTTGATAACTAATACTGATTCACGCAACTGAGAAATGGTAAAAAGAATACAGAACAGTTGAATAATGCATCAATATATCTGCAACTTTGATTCTCAAAACTTTCAAAAACATTTCTTCTTTTTCTCTGCCCCTCCCTCCCCACTCACTCTCTCTCTCTCATCAAAGAGTTTATGTTGGAGATAAATAAAAAGAAAGAAACGAAAAGAAACATCAGAAAACACACCTCCAAAGATTTAACTGCACACATCTTTCCATTTGTCAGCTAAGATTATATGATCAGAACCACAAGAGCATAAAGTATCTACGCAAGCATCAAGCTGGTATCTGAATAAAGAAAACGAGACAGCCTGCCTGCCAATGGAGGAGGAGGAAAGTGTGGATGCAAGTTTGTGCCCCCATGTCGAAAATAGGCTTCTGCAGACCAAAATAAGCAGTATTGATGGTTTTTATTCCTATTTTTTATATATAAGAAAAATGCATGCTTTCAATAAGAAATGAATGAAATCCGAAACCTGAATGCGGATGCAGAGAATTTAACAGATAACAGCACCATTTTTCCCTAAAGTCCAGGAATAAAACATATTCCAAAAGTTCTTGGTCAAAAAATTGTGAGTTTTCGAAGTACCATATATTCTATAAGTGACGCAAGGGATAAGGCTAGAGAATAATTCAGAGCAAACAAGACTTGAGAAAGAAAATGTTGAAAGTTTTAATACATTATTTCTGAAACAAATTGCAAAATTTGTAATTTCTGAAACGTTAATACATTATTTCTGTTATGTCTTTTATACCATCTGAAAATGTTGAAAATGTAGGGATAATGCGTCTTCTTTGCTGCAAAGAAAAAATTGATCAATATGCTATGATTCTTATTTCCGTTATGTCTTTTATTTTTCAAACTACTGAAGTTAATTAGATGCAAAATACCTGAGAGTGAAATGCCGAAAAGCACAACTTTGTATGAGAGAGACAGAGCTCATACGGATATGATGACTTGTTTGCCTATCTTTATTAAAGGAATGTGAGATATCTTGGCCCAATCTTCTCCCGTCTTATCCTCATACCTTTTCTCCAGGGTGGAACAAGAGTCGATCTCCAGGTAAGAAAGCGATGGCGGCAAACTGTTTTCTGGCAGGAATTGGAGTTTTGGACACCCAGAAATTAGTAGCTTTTGAAGAGACGTGAGGTGTAGAAGTCCCTCTGCTGGAAGGAATTCCAGACTCGGGCAACTATAAATAGTTAGATATTGAAGAGAAGTAAGGTGTTGAAGTCCCTCTCGTGGCAGGGATTCCAGACTTGGGCAAACATCAGAAAACAGACCTCGAAAGATTTATCTGCACACATCTTTCCATTTGTCAACTACGATTATATGATCGGAACCACAAGAGCATAAAGTATCTACGCAAGCATCAATCTGGTACCTGAATAAAGAAAACGAGACAGCCTGCCCAATGGAGGAGGAGGAAAGTGTGGATGCAAGTTTGTGTAGGCTTCTGCAGACCAAAATAAGCAGCATTGATGGTTTTTATTATTTTTGATATACGAAACATGCATGCTTTCAATAAGAAATGAATGAAATCCGAAACCAGAATGTGGATGCAGAGACGTTAACATATAACAGCACTGTTTTTCACTAAAGTCCAGGAATAAACATATTCCAAAAGTTCTTGGTCAAAAAATTGTGAGTTTTCGAACTAGTATATATTCTATAAGTGACAAACAATACTTGACAAAGAAAATGGGAGAGATGAGAAACAAATTGCAAAATTTTGTAATTTCTGAAATGTTAATACATTATTCGGTTATGAAAGAGCACCTATACATGTTGCACTTTTGATGCTTACTATGCTGGATTGATCCTCTTCATACCATCCGAAAATGTTAAAGACGTAGCGATAATGTGTCTTCCTTCCTGCAAAGAAATATTTGATCAATATGCTATGATTCTTATTTCTGTTATGTCTTTTATTTTTCAAACTATTGAAGTTCATTAGATGCAAAATACCTGAGAGTGAAATGCCACAACTTTGTATGAGAGAGACAGAGCTCATATGATCACTTCGTCGTTTATCCGTATGCAAGGAATGTGAGATATCTTGGCCCAATCTTCTCCCTTCTTATCCTCGTACCTTTTCTCCAGGGTGGAACAATTGTAGATCTCCAGGCAAGAAAGAGAGCGCGGCAAACCGTTTTCTGGCAGGAATTGGAGTTTTGGACACCCACGAATGTGTAGCTTTTGAAGAGAAGTAAGGTGTAGAAGTCCCTCTGCTGGAAGGAATTCCAGACTTGGGCAATTACGAATAATTAGATCTTGAAGAGAAGTGAGGTGTTGAAGTCCCTCTCGTGGCAGGAATTCCAGACTTGGGCAATCACCAATGGTTAGCCGGTGAAGAGAAGCGAGGTGTCGAAGTGCTTTTACGTCCACCACCGATTTCAGACTTGATAGTCCAGTGATGCGGAGACGGTTAAGAGTAGTAGGGAGCAGGAGCTGTTCCTTGAGCAACGGTGCCCAGATCTCGCCAGCAATTGTAAATTGTTTAAGGGAGACAAGTCCTTGTAATCCCCACTCCACTGAAGGCTTCACTTTGTCGCAACCTGTAACATCAAAATATTGCAGGTTGGGAGGCAAACCCCCTTGGGCAAATGATACCAGATTTGGAAGATCGATTAATACCAATCGTTCAAGGGCGGTGAGGGTGGGCAATCCTCCGTCCGGGAAAGACGCCAGATTTGGACAGCGGTAGATTTGCAGGTTGTTGAGGTGGCTTAGGTTCTGATCAACTCCTTCAATAGAAAAGGATTCCAGATTCTCACAGCCATCGATATGAAGAGTTGAAAGTTTGGGGAAAACGCCCAACGGGAAGGACCTCACTGAATGAAAACTATTCCAGATCTCCAAATCCTCAAGTGATGTCAATTCGGCCATCATCTCATGAGATAAGAACTCTAATGACGACACGGTTGGGCAATTCAAGAGAGTCAAACGTCGAAGATATTTCATTTTGGGCAGGCACTGTATTGCATCAAAATTAGAAATTCCAAGTCTGGACAACTTCTCTACTCTCTCTATTAATGGTAACAGACCTGGGCATCCATCAATATCTATTTCCAATGAATTCTGTAAGTAGTCCATGTTAAGACCACTACTACTACTACTGGCCCATTCATCATGCAGATGTAGATATTCACACCCAGACACCCTAAGTGTTTTCAAGCATGGAAGACGATTGGGCAAGTATCCTCTCAGCTTCGGACAATTCCTTATCATCATCTTCTGGAGACAAGGAAAGGGCTGAAGTACAGAAGCTCCACTTGGACTCGGTCGCCAATTCTCCCACTCTTCCCACTCTGGCATCTCCTCAAACTCCAGCGTCTTCAGAGACCGAAAGGGCTGAATTACAGAAGCTCCATTAAGATCACCATAGAATTCAACACCAACCGTTTTAACAAATTTCATCCTTTTGATACGTAGCTCTTTAAGAGTGGGCAGCTGCCCAAAACTTGGCAAGGACAAACAATACTTACAATCACTGATACACATGAACTGTATGTTCGAGAAGGAATTAGAGCTTCCTAACCAATTTGGGAAGCTGGTTCCTCCATAGAATCTGATAGTCAGTTTCTCCAAATTTGCAGAAGGTTGGAGCTTGTCAAGCACATCTCTCTCCTTTTGGGAATCATCGGCTTCCTCATCAACCCATGCCAACTCTAAGTCATTGAGTTCTTTCTTATTCTTCAAATTGGCTTCCAAAGCATCCACAAAATCAACTACATTTTGCAGATTTGAAATACGAAGTCTTCCTTGAAGATGCTGCAACTCCCTTAATTCTCCAATGCTAGATCCGGTATATTTCCCCACAACGAAATCAGTTAATGTTCTCAAACTTTTTAGTCTTCCAATTTCCACTGGCATCTCTTCTATGTTTGTTCCACTGACATCGAGGTAATGCAAACTACTCAATTCCCTCATATCTGCTGGTAATTTGGTAAGGGAGCTGCAACCTGCCAACGTTAACGTCCGTAAATTTATCAATTTTCTCATGTCTGCTGGCAGTTCAATGAGAGCATGACAACCTGACAGCAGTAACGTCTGCAAATTGTAGAGAGTGCAAACTGCACCAGGTAAGCTTACAATTGCCGTCCGGGAGAGATCTAGGTAGCGCAGGTGAATGAGACTGCCCACAGAATCAGGTACTTCAGCAACATTTTGATAACGGGACAATGATAAAACCCGTAAACGTTTCAGGGATGGCAACAAATCATGTAGAAACTTTTTACTTACGTAGAAAAGTTTAAACCAGTAATTTATTGAGATAGGTAGGAAGGTCCGCAGACACTTAGCCCCATTTAATGGCTCAAATTTTTTAGCAGCATCAAATTCTCCCCTAGCATATGACAAATGACGAAGTCTTTTAACTTCTTGTGATTCCCTCTCTTCCAACCTGAGAAAAAATCCCCCAGACATGAACCGACCCAAGTCGTTAAGAAGATCATGCATTGTAAAACCATCCTCCCCTGATTTTTGAAGTAGTGATCGTGATACTAGTTCATCAAAGTAACTTCCAGCCGTGTCTTCCATTCTTTGTCCGTTAAAACCTTGCGGAATTAAACCTTCTGCCATCCAAAGTAGAACCATATCTTCCTTCTTGAACTGATAGTCTTTTGGAAATAGTGAACAATACACAAAGCATCGTTTCAACTGAGCAGGAAGATAATGATAGCTCAACCGTAGGGCTGGAAGGATATCACTTTTATCATAAGGTAGCTCCCAAAGACTACTATTTAACAATTTATTCCATTCCTTGAAGCCTCTCTGGCAACGTAGTAGACCCCCGAGTGTTTCTGCTGCTAAAGGCAAACCATTGCACTTGCGTGCAATTTTCTTGCCAATTTCTTCCAAAGTTGGATGTGCATTGTGGTTTTCGTTTCCAAACGCATGTTTTGAAAGTAACATCCAACAATCTTCATGCGACAAAGGCTTCAAGTGTTGAATGGGCACATTTTTCATGAGAGATGCGACATTTTCACTTCGTGTTGTCACGACGACTTTACTTCCCCTTGCCCCGGAGGTAAAAGGAGTTTGGAGGCACTTCCAATCAAAATATTTCTCATTCCAAAGGTCATCCAACACAAATAAGAATTTCTTTCCCTTCAGTTGTTCTCTAAGTTCAACTTGAAGCAAATTCAAATCCGTCATGTTACAAGGTTTTGAAGTGACCGACTCGAGAAGAGTTTTAGTCACCCTAATAGCATCATAATCTTCTGAAACACATGCCCAAGATCTAAGGGTAAAGTGCTCGTTCACCTTATCATCGTTGTAAAGGGCTCGAGCAAGGGTCGTCTTGCCAACCCCGCCCATACCAACAATGGTGATGATAGATACATCATCCTCGCTCGCATCGTCAGAGAACAAGACTTTTGATAAATTTTCTTTATCTTCGTCTCTTCCATATACAAAAGGTTCATGAATCAAGGAAGTTGTTGGAGTTCTTTGTGAAACCTTCCTCCCAACAACTTCTGTAAGACCAAGGGCAACTTTCTGTTGCACAAAGCCCTCCAGCCTTTGTAATAACCCTTGTATCTCAACATTCATGCTTCGATAAAAATTACTACGAGAAGGAGAGAAGAAGTTCAACACCTTTTTGGTTAATTTCTCGGTTTGACCTTCACCTTCCACCTTGCATCGCAAAGCTTCAGTGTCGATCTCATCCAGCAGGTCCTCCGCGTCGAAGACAGCATGCTTGAGCTCGTCCAGCCAGTCTCTCACAGCAGGGTTTGAAATTTGCTTCTCTTCTGCATCGTTGAGCACTGCATAAAGGGTGAGCAGCGTCGTCTTCAGTTTCATGAGGAGCGGTTCATCCAGCTTCTTCTGCCGGAACAAGTCACTGAAGTCGGTTGAAGCAATTTTGTCACACAGCACCTGGATGGAAGCGGAGAGAAAAGCCTCTCCGATCAAAGCGGCAGCCATTTTTCTCTTTGGTTGCTTAGTTTGCTAGTAGCTCAATGTAGAAGAAAATGCTTATGAGATTGTAATTATTGATGCATCCCAATTCGTAATCAACTTGTGATTGGTCAGTTGACCAAAAAATGAACTTGTGATTGGTCAGTTGACCATAAAAGAACTTGTGATTGCTCTGTAATTAGTCTTTTGGTTCAAAAGTAGTCCCATGGATCCAGATCTGCATCTTTTTATTGGTAGCCGACAACATCGTGGCCGTTGATTAAAAGTAGATGCAAATCGTGCGGCAATTAAATTTTTTAACTTACACAAACGGCGAGGCGTTGCTTAATGGTTTCCAGCTGGTGCTTTACGTGAAACACGAGGCGCTCTCTTTCTGGGAGGGTGACAACAGCTTGTGATTGCTCAGTAGTCTGTAATTAGTCTTCTGGTTCAAAAGTTGTCCAGGGATCCAGATCCGGATCATTTGGGGAGCATGGGACCACAACATCGTGGCCGTTAATTTAAAGTGGATGCAAATCGTGCGCCTATTAATTTTTTTAATCTATTTCCCAAATAGCAAGGCGCTGTTTAATTGTTTCTTACTACTTCTCACAAAAAACGAGGCGTTATCTTTTCTAAGGGAGTGACACGTGATACACGTGGCAATGTCAGTCGATGACACTCACTAATTAAATCACCAACACGTGAAATTGTGCTGTAACTGTAAGTAAACACTAATCAATAACTTTTATTAATATTTCATTAACTATTAATAAATAGGAAACTTCCTCTCCTCTTCTCCTCTTCGTTTACCGGAAAATCACGTGACAATCCCACCTCTTCTTTTGAGTTGCAATTATATTACCGGAAAATCAGGTGAAACTCACAATTGTTTTGAGATTGTAAATTTGTAATTATATAATCATGTGATTAACCTTTGAATAGTTCTTGTCATTCAATACTACGGTCTGATGGTATTTCTCGTTACTTGAAAGTAAAAGATCTTAGATTCGAATCTCGTGAATGAAAAATTTGATATCAAATTAAAATATCTATTATATGATTAACCGAACATCTTTTTTGTTTAATGTAAAAAATATCGATATACTAAAAAAAACTTTGAATAATGCTCTGATTTCACTTTTAAAGGCCATCTGGGAACAACTATTGAAACTTCCTATGTCCTCACATGGGGATGGGTCCAGTTACACGTCACTTGTACAGTCCACATGAACAAGAACAAATTGTTTTTCATTTTATTTTTTATTAAGAGACGAACTTAATTAAGATACAAGTTGTGGTGCTTAAGAAAGATTGACCTCGTTAAAACTTTGTTCGATGAGAATATGTGGGACTAAACTCCGAACAAAGAAAAAAGGATATTTCTCTTTTTACTAACTTGAAGTGTCGTCATTTTTAAATCTTTATATATTAAATTTTTTTTGTCTCATACTTAAAATAAAAATTGTGAGATATTTTCATTCTCCTATTAATCTTTCTGTTAAAACCTCTAGTAATGCATCACGTGGTGTCTACACTCTATAGCCCATGTGAACGTTAAAAAAATTAAAAAAATCTATAGCTCATGGGAACATTAAAAAATTAAAAAAATTAAGAATAATTCTCACTTTACTACCTATCCTGAAATTCCAACTTTTGAAACTTTCTATGTGCTCACTTGGATTGGGGATGCCGTCTAGTGATACATAAGTTGTACAGTGCACATGAACAAGAGTTGTTTTTTTATTTTTTTTTTTAATTAAGAAACGAACTTAATTAAGGTACAATTTGTAGTGGTTGAGAAAAAGTGACCTCGTTTAAAACTTTGCTTTAGGAGAGTATGTGGGATTAAAGCTCGAACAAAAAAGAGAAAACTTAATTCTCATTTTAGTATTTTGAAATATCATGATTTTAAAACTTTTATACATTAAGTTTTTTTTTCATCACAACCTCATACATAAAAGTAAGGATTGTGGGACACTTTTATCTCGACTATGCGGGACCTACCGTGCCATGCTTTTGCATAGTCATTGTCTAGTGGCATACCATGTCATCAATTAAATTAGTATTTGACAAAAAGACTAACGGAAGTATGAAAGTGTCACAAAATTTAAACTTTAGGTATGAAAGTGGGATGGAAAAAATATTAAGTATGAAAGTGTCACAAAATTTAAACTTTAGGTATGAAAGTGGGATGGAAAAAATATTAAGTATGAAAATCGGAATTTCATGAAACTTTAAGGTATTAAAGTAAGAGTTACTTATAATTTTTTTTTTTTTTTTTAAGTCCACGTGAGCCCAAATTGATAGGTGGCACCTAGTAATTGTCCACGTAAGTGCAACGTCACGGGTTAACGGAGGTTTCTTACGGAACTAACTTATGTATGAAAGTGCCCTACAATTCTTACTTTAGCTTACAAGACTGTGACAAAAAAAAAAAACTAAAATGTATGAAATTTTGAAAACTACAATATTTCAAGGTAAAAAGGTAAGAATTACCGGAGAAAAAAAATTACCACAGCTCAAAAGCCAATTTCATATTTACTCAACCAGAAGCTGAGGTTGGAGACTGATAGCTTGATGTCGTATTGCAACACGCATTCCACTCCTCATTCTAAACTCTAAACATGAGTCATTAACGGAATAGAGAATGAGTAAGTAGTCGATACCTCCTTAATTCGGCAATTAATCTCTTCAATTTGGGATTTTCTTGTGTTTGTATTCATAATTTGACAGCTTACATTGAGCAAACAATTAGATTCAGTTTGGAGACAAAACCAACTTTTAAGAGATTTAGAATTATCATTCAAGATATGGTCAAGAATGTTGTATACAAGGCGCTTTTCTTCATACCGGAAAAGACTGCTATTCAAAATTTGGCTTCATTTTCCACAAACATCACGAACTAAGCAAGTATGCAAGATCCATTGCATCCAAGTAACTTGGGGAGCTCACCGGTGCTTAACCTGTTTCATGGCTCTTCCAATGCACCATTCGAGTACTCCTCACCAGCAACACCCGATGCTCCATTTGATAACTGGCTTATACTGCTGGAACTTGAATATTTTGAGTATGTGGAAGCAGGGTTTCCCCATGAATTATGAGTATGTGCAGCCGGGGTACTTCTTGTCACCTTAAGGTGAGCCTTCCTACCCTGCAGTGGAGCAACAAATCACATTATCTATTAGTCTGTCGTTTAAGGACATCACAAATAAAAACTAGGGAAATGTCTACTATTTGAAAATATGACGGATAATTACCTTTCCCACACACTTCTCCAAATGAGGAGCAAACCTCCCATCCATGATAGACCGACCGCAATTCATGCACTCAAAACACTTCGCTATTCGATGACACTCAGATGCTACATCAACAATGATCGAATCGAGGAGATCCCCAAAACATGAGATGAAAGCTGCAATCACAAGCCAACAAATTATGACAAAGCAAGATATCTACAACTTACTAGTATAGAACCACTTAGCCATTAAAGTCATTAGAATAATGTGTGATTCCAAAAGGTCAGAGAATAGATGAATGTGAAATCATCTACACATGAACAAAATGCATTAGTAATGTGTGATTCCAAAAGGTCAAAGAATAGATGAATATGAAATCATCTACACATGGACAAAATGCATCTCCTTGCAATTTTTTTTTTAATTCTTCTATTGACAAGACACTATTCTAAACTACCGTAATTTAAGAAGTGGAGAATACGAACTAGGCTGCAAAGGGAAGGCACAATGTCGTAACCAATTGGCCTAACCCAAGTCTCCATCTGGAAGCATCTAAACCCATAACAACTCAAAACCCACAAAAATGTCCCAACCCATTTCTCAAACAAATTCAAACCAAAAGTTCAAAATCCTTCAACTTCTTCCGGGTCTAAAAGCAAAAAGAAGCAAAATGAGCTGCTTTAAATGTGAAGGGGAAAATACTTTCTTCATTTGGAAGCGACATGGCGGAGCTAAATTGGTTTTATAAACCTACCCAAAATACAGCGCGAGGGTTGCACTACCTTCACAGCGGTGCCGAGGGCTTCACTGTCGGAGGGAAGGACCAGGGATTGCCTGGGCCTATCGTGGCTTTCTAAAACAAATATATATATTAGGGAATTATGCATCTTTGTATTGCTTCAAGTCCAGCTTTCCAAGTTTCAAGCATAACCCCATCTCCCAATTAGCATTAATATTTTATCCATCTCCTTAACAGAAATTAATAGCATTTAAAATAAAGCAATATTTCGCCTTTCTTTGAATAGAAAACATTTAATTTTAAATATGAAAATTAAAAAAAATTTCCCTTTTCTTTTTGAAATATCATACATTTTATAATCCTAAATTCGAAATCTATTCAACAAATAAGTTTTAAATTTCTTTGTTTCTCTATTGTTTCTGCTCTATTCTACATATTACATGAGAGTTATCGTTTGTAAAGTTTTTATTTATCGCATTAAGTTTAATAGTATAGGCAATGGGGTTATAATAAAACGATTTTAAAATATAAAAACTCGTCCAAGACAATTATAATTTTAGTGAGTACATAATATTATATGTGCATATGTTGTTTTAAACATTTAATTTTGATATATATATATATATTAGCTTTGTAAATACCATCAGCTTAAAAAAAATTGAAAAAAAAAAAAAACCTTTATGAGAGGCCCCTCCTCATCAAAAATTCTAGTTCCGCCACTGATCTTTAGGTACCTTTTTCAGTCTAATGAATTTTGTCTTATGTTTTTTTATGTTTTTGATGGTCTTGTTCTTTCAGTTCGTGGTTGTCATTACTTGCGTTTGTGTTTGAGATGTGCTATTTAGAGTATTACCCAATTACGGATTTGTAAACATGTCGTCAAAATGATTAGTTTAATGTTTAGGATTTGATTGTCTACATTTTTTAGCAACATTTTATCCTTTGAAATTCCTCCACACACACACACCCCCCCCCCCCCCACCCAAAAAAAAGACAAAGACAATTCTCGCCTTCGCCATTATAGGCATACAATACAACCAAATTCTCCTAGTTGTGGCGTTCTTGTTCGTGGTTCATAGAAAAATTTGTAAGAGTGTAACAGTGATTCAGATTCGTTATTTTCGATTAGGGTGTCTTATTAGAGTAGCTTTCAAATCAGTGCGAGTCAAGTGAAATCAAACTACATAGGAGCTAATTTTTTGTATAAAATTTAGTATGAATGATGTGACCGGATGACCCTGTCAAAGTTTTTCTTCCTTTAGTAGCCTTATACATCCTCCGCTGATCTGTCGAGCATTGATCTTATACTTGCTTCTAAAATTAGTCATTTTGGGATTTAGAGCCAATTTATTGAGTTTTATTGGGGCGGGGCTAGAGAGAGCAACTTTTATAGCATGAGCTCACGGCCATCATGACGTCCCGTGCCAATAATACAATCGTAAGTTTATCTCCAGACTTTCATTTTGTACATGACTTGAGACGTGAGTGAACTTCAGACATAAATTAGTTTGGCAAGCCTTGAACTTATTCTATAAACATGATCAAGCTGCATACATACAGATGATAAATACATCTCTAATCCAACGTTCAGTAGACAAAAAGAGCCCTGTATCTATCCAAGTTATACCTTCCCCTTCTAACTTCTAAGTTGTCAGTTGACTGGACTGCCAACATATGAACACCGACACCGAAGCTCTCCCCTTGTACGTCCAGAAACAAAAATTCAGGGCTCGTACCATCTCTATGCAACTACGGCCGGTTAAATACTAGACACTGCACAGCTGACCACATTTACTTTGATCATGTAGCGTGAGGTGATTTAGCATAACTTGGATTCCTTTTGTTGATATCCTCCTCCGCTTGTACTGCTTGTAGTACTTACGAGATACTTTGTTGCAGTCAGCATCCTCGAAGGAGGAAAATACTGGATTGCTCTCACCCGCGCATGGTCTACTTTGTTTACCTGCAGCGTTTCTGGTGAAAAATAGGAGAGTCAATAGTTTACTCTTTTATTCAAGTAACTTGAAGATCAAGTAAACTAAAATTAACGGTTGGCGTGCTATAGTGTGATTTTCCAATTTACTTTCTGTTATTGGCCAATATTATTTACTGATCGTATGATGGATCCAAACAGCTTCAACCAGAATCTGATACTAGGTCATGATTTTTAGTATTGAAGAACAATAGAACATTAATGCCGTGCGTGTTCTATTTTTCTTTTCAATATTCGAAGTATAAAGTAGGAAGGTGAGACATACTCTACTCCTTGGCACGCAATTCTGCCATCCTCAATTGGTTCCGCTTGATACACTTCAGAGACGGTAATGGACATATCAACGTCAGTATTATCACGACTTCCACAGATATCACCGTAAAGATCAAGCACGGTTCCTGCGAAACACCATAAAAGAATGTGGACGCTAGTTAATTAGTCTGGTAATTATGGATTTCATTTTGTTCGGGAAAAAAAAAAAAGAAGAAAAAAATTTGATCATAAAAGATACTTTTTAATGGCCTTGCTTCAGCTGGAGCATTCTTGTTTAACAGTTTCTGACACATAATGGTACCCTGAAAATCAAGGAAAGTATAATCCAGAAACTTTAGCCTCTCGGAAGGTGTCATCTTTGAGAACCCAAATGATGTCGTCCATGTGTTTAGCACGCTTGGTACGGCGGGCAAAACCAATCTCTCCACACCTAATTCCAGAAGCATCTGACAGAATAAAGAATTTAGAGGCAATAATGAGAAATTAAGAAAATGACTTTCCAAGAAGGAACACAACAAAAATGAAACCCGCAGGAACATTCAACACATTACCTTTTCAAGCTCATCCATTAATATACGACACATTCCAAGCCGACGATATTGAAATCTGGTAGCAACAAGAGGTACTTCTGCCACTTTGTCTCCGAAAATCCTTTGATCAAGAAACTACCAGTTTAGAAACAAATTACCTGTCCCACAAAGCTCAAAAATTTTCAACTAGCAGCTAATTAAAGCTCACCTTACAGTAGCCGCAGTGATTAATTCATCATTTCTCTCCAAAAGCACAGTATAGAACCCTCGGAAGTTCAGGCGATTAAGATCTGACCTGGAATATTCCAGAAACTGGCCTTAGAAAGTGAACATATGCCTCATGTGCTAAGCTCAAATATTAGCAGTATGTTAGCAAGTCACGAAAGCAAAAGAAATTGTGACGTTGACAGTAAGAATTTCCCACCCTCTACTGAAGATGACATCTTCTACAAGATCTCTCCTGGTAAGAGGTTCCTTAACAGGCACAAAACACTCATGCATCACATCAAGAGCAACATTGAGCTTGCTATAACACTCCGTCAAGGCATCATCAGTATCATGTTCATCGGTAGCATGGGTATCACACTTGTTGAACTTCAACAGTGACCAAGATAGATTGTCATCACCCACTGGAATTTGTTTTCCTAAACGCTCATCTAGGTTGAAAGATATCTGAAAATTTGAAACAGTCAAATCAACATCACATGGAGAGAGCAAGTAGCTCGTGGATGGAATGTTAGAGTAAATAAGATCCATAATTCACCTAAAACATCTGACACAAAAAAACGTGAGACTGAGCTTATTTAGAATAATTTTGATTGAATTTAGAAAGGATAAAAGCGATACTTCTGAATTTTTCGCAAATCAGGCTAGGAAACAAGCAACTAAGTTCAAAAAGAGGACTGAAAAAAATTGATGGCATGTTGGGATACCTTTTTACAGTTTTTGCTGCAATACCAGTTTCCTTCTGGATCACTTTTGTTTTCTTCTGCGCCTCTTTTTCTCAGGCACCCTTTGTGATCTACAACAAATAGGGGAACGCTAAAATTACAAACTTTTTGAAGATGTGACGATGTACACGAAGTTCACAGGCATGCATTTTCTATAACAGATGAAACAGACAACAGTCATCCTACATTTATGCTCGCATTGACCACAGGTGAGAACATAATTATCATCCACAATAGACTCTTTCTCTTCTTTAAAGTTCTTTTGGCCACAAATTCCACAACGGCAAGATGAACAGAACCAGTCACCGTCTGGAACAGCCTGCAGAAGCAAAAACATTTAAGACCAAGAAAAGAAGTCAAGAATCTCAATCATTTTTGTCAAAAGGATAAAAAAGAGGAAACGAAACAATACACAAAGTACTAGAAATACTCGAGGAAAGCAATCTACCTTCAAGCCAAGGCATTTTTTGTGAAATGATGATGGACATTGATCACATAAAATTAGGTCACCACCAAAGTGACACACAGTGCAAATGTAATCATTCTCACCTCGGCACCAATTGCCCTTCATCCTATCACGTGGTTGTTTTCGGAAGTTCCTCTCCCTTCTTTCATGCATAATTTGCACCTGGCAATCTAAGAGAGACCTACCATCTTCCAAGAAAATATTGGCATAAGGTCTGTGGTTACTACTGCCAGCGTGATGCCCAAAGGAACTAAGAGTATACACCTCTGTGCAACAGCTGCACCTGATCCCCTCACGAGTTATCTTCCCTTGTTTCATTGGATGACTATCCTTTGTGCTCCGATAATTTACTTTTTCCCTTGAAGAAACCATGTTATTGTCTATCAACCAAGATAAGACATTGCGAGGATTCTTGTGTGAGGAGGTTTCTTCCTGCACCCGTTTGCTTGACCTGAGCACACGAGTTGGCTGACTACCACCCAATCCATCCCTTAACCCATCCAAAGCTCCAGATCCCCTTCTCCTTTTGAACTTTGGAGGGTTGGCACATTGATCCTTTAGACATCTTAGTTTTTCATCACCTATTAACTCTGTTGGTCCGTATTTTCTCTTTTTTGGGCATTTTCTACTACCATGAACTTTCACATTACCAATCTCCACAAGATTACTTGCCTGTGACATGCTAACAGTATCTCTAGACCAATTTTTGGACACAGTTTTCGATGGTACCAAGCCTTCATGATTAACCAAATTACTTGCTGTAGAGCATATTC